TGAGTGAATTTGGTTCGCACACTTGTCCAAGCCCTATTTAATTTAAGGATATACTTTTTGTTCTCAACAAATGAGAAGGCATGAGGGATATACACGACACCAGGCCACTTGCAAAAATGTAATCATTACTATGAACTAAACGGGTATAAATACGTAACCCCCCCTTATAAAATAGAGGTTAGACATTCACGCATTCAATAAAGCAAATAGGAAAGACACACTACTAGAAAGAGACTAGCTTGACATTCTCTTAAAACACCAAACACAAACACTTGTGATCTCAGATCGCAGCTCGCAATCTCTTGTAAGCTTATCTAGCAATCAAAAAGTAACATTTATATAAACGAACACAGTGGATGTATGATTCGCTTTAAGCATCCAAACCACTATAAAAATCATCTTGTCAAATTTACTTTATGTCTTTGCATGCTACTGTACTCACAATAACTCACTCACTCACTATAATTAGCTCACGTGTGGTTTCTTAGCATTTTGCACATGCAAAGTTGTTGATGTCAAAATCAAGCATACTTACAATAACTCACTCACTCACTATAATTAGCTTACGTGTGGTTTCTTAGCATTTTGCACATTCAAAGTTGTTGGTGTCAAAATCAAGCATCAATAAATATATATATATATTCCGAGCCAACTTAAGTAAACTAATCATCTGAGACTTTAGAACTATCGACTAGGTAAGAGCTCTAGTGGGTATCCTTATTAGCAACTGAGGAGGGACTCGAACTTAAGACCTCTTAAATAATACACCTAAAAGTCCCTATCGAACCACTCGGCTATCACCACCAGAGGTAGTTAATGTATCATTATATTTGGAAGCGGCAATCCTGACTTTCATCACTTACCAGTCAACATTTGGGATCTTCATATCCCTAAAACATACCATAAAAAAAGTCTTAAATATAATCTGAATTATAAAAATTGAACATACAATTGATCAATGACATAGACTAAGAAATCTATATAGATACATAAATCTATGTAGAATTATTTAAGAAAGAGAATAATAAGAAACCTAACTCAATTCCAAATAAAGTTCTTTGAATATTTTTCATGGAAAATTAAAAAAAAAAAAATGTGTCGAATTAAGTAAAAACTTAATAAAACATTTTCGTATAAATGTATTTAATTAAATAATTCGTGTGTATTTAACTATTGGGGTTTAAAAAGTACTTTTTTTTTTTTTTTTTTTTTTAAATACATATTGGACACCACCCAAAGTCCTTATGTTGCTTCAGTCCCATATAGAATCTATACATATCTCATGTCATCAATGTATTGGTAAGAGTAAAAACATGTTATAGATAATTTTTAGAGTATGTTTGGCATACGACATTGGATAGCACTGAGTAAATTATATAACATCACATGAAATTTTATTATATTATAAAATACTATACAAAATATTGTACAATATCTTAATAAAACGTTACATTATATTGAAATTGTGTTAAATATGCTAAGTTTTTAAACCTTCCCTCTTAATAATGGTTATATATGGATCGTGTTAGTGGTTTTGATGAATCAAATAACAGTGAATAATAAATTTAATTTATATGTAATTCATATATTTGCTCATAAATTTCAATTTTGATAACTCCAAATTATGTGTGAAAAACATAATTCCTAACCTCTTTTTTTATCACTAGGTGATGACAATCCTATTAGTGTTTGAGAGTACTCGAACTCAAGTACTCATGAAACCTCATCTTGCTCTTTTACCATCAAGCCACCAAATGATGGTTATAATTCCTACAATTAGTTGTTACAATTTTGTAAATTAATATTAGGATGTTTATATAATTTACAAAATTATATGATGCTAAAATAATAGAAAATCCGTTGATGTGGGCTGCAATGTCCTTTATAAGGTACTGTTACCAACACAAGTCAAAAGAGGAAAATAATACAGCCATCGACAGTAGTGCACTGAATTTATACACCGAATGACGTGACAAAATCCTGACCGTTGATTAATTTTAACTTAATATTAATTAATAGTCAAGGTTTTGTCACGTCATTCGGTGCACTATCATCGGTGGCTGTAGCATTACTCGTGAAAAGATGTATTAATCAGGTAAAGGGACAGTGCACAATTACACGTGGGCAATTCTTATTGGCTTCAGGAAGTCAAAGTCAGTAGATTTTTTTTTTTTCTCATCGTGAGGATGAGGTCCAAGCTGTAAATTGACATGAATATAACACTCAGTTAATAAATGGAAAAATAATATTGTAGAGAATATTTTATTTTTCTATTACTACATTAACTTAATATAATTGAAAAATAAAATAAAATAATTTATAATCCAAATACCTAGAATGACGTATAATTTAAATATAATTTTTTGTTTTTGAAAACAAAGGGTCCAACAAATCTTATGAATATGCATTTGGTAGAAAGGAGTCGGATTATTTTAAAAACCAGTTCATGAATATAATCATAAAAGCCAGTGTAAAATAAAAAAAAAAAAAAAACGGTTAAAAGTTGTTTTTATGGTTTTTAATAGTTGTTAATTTGAAAACAATTTTTAAATATTGTATTAAATATAAAGATTGGCTCACAACTCAATCTTATAAACTTTCTCACAACTCTAACGTGATAGTTCGCAATTGATCAAGTCGTAAATGGATAGACGTGACCCATTTATGAGCTCACTAATTGTAAATTGCTATGTCAAGATTGTGAGAGAAAGTTTGTGAGATTAGGTTATAAGTATAGTATTACCCTTATATCAAACATGTTTTTAAATATTAAAAATATTAAGATACAACTCCAAATTTTGAATTGTATTTCAATGTTTGAAAACTATTTTTCAATCACAAATCAAACACGCTATTTTCTTATTATATCCCATGACCTCTAGCTTGTCTTACCTTCTATCGCCCTCCTTTATTTCATTGTATTTTCTTTGAATAATGCTAAGGGTGTGTTTGGTTCAGGGAATATTATATTATTGGGAATATTATATTAATAGAAATATAAATTATCTAGAAAATTACGGGAAATGTTTAGAGAAATGTATTTGGTTTGTTGGAATAAATTGGTAGGTATGTTATATTAATATGTATGGTTGAAAGGAATAAATTGGTAGGTATGTTATGTTAATTACTAAATTGTCTTTTTTTTTTTTTAAATATTAATATAATATTATTTTTTGAATAATTTTTCTAACCCCCTACATTTCAGATTTAACTAAAATACCCTAGCAACAAAAAAGTTTAAAACTTAATAAAAACACCCCCACCCACCCCAAGCCACTATAGGCTGTCTGCCACTACCGGTAGCGACGACAATGGAGATCCGGTTGTGAAAGGCCAGATCTCTAGCCATGAATCACAAATCCATGGCTAGAAACAGCCTTAGCGACTCACAGCTGGCCATATCTGGCCGGTCGTGTGCCATTTTGTCACTGTCGGCGGTGGTGGCCAGATCCAGCCACCACCATTGGGTAATTTTTTTAAATTCCAAGGGTATTTATGTCCTAGAAACTTTGTATATAAGAATAAAATATTCAATTGGCATTTTTGTAAATTGTTTTTAAAATAAGGGCATAATTGTCCTAAAATTTTATTAATAAGGGGTAAAATTGTAACAAAAATAAGTTTACCAAGTAATCTTAAAATACCTAAGAACATGAATGTAATCAGATTACCTTCTATATTACCAACATTAATTACTATTGGTATTGAAAGATTATTGGAATCTTATATTATTTGACAAATCAATGTGGTGATCAAGTAATATAAGATGACATTTCCTTAGTAATCTTGTATTACCTGACAAAATACACCCTAAGTGATATAACTTTTAAAAAAACATTTTAGTGAAAAAATTAAATAATTTATATTTTTAATTTCTAAAAAATAATAATACTGTTATTCTGAAAAGTATATGTTTTAAAAAGAAAGAAAATCGTATGTTTTATGGGACAGTTAAATCTAGAAATAAAGAAAGTGTTAATGGAAAGAAAGGAAGGGAATAAAAAGAGCTAAAATATTTAAGACTTTCGAATAATACTTTGGGTACTAATGGATGGGTACTAATTTGTGTACTAACTAAAGCATAGTACCTGTACTATGAAATAGTACCTGTACTATGTGTACTATGTTCATAGTACAGGTACTATGCTTTAGTTAGTACACAAATTAGTACTCATCCATTAGTACCCATAGCATCACTCAAGACTTTCTTTGTAAAACACTAAAACTATAACTACAGTATATAACAGGTTATTTCAATATTAAATTATTATTTTAATATTTTGAGATTATAGATTCATGAATTATGCAATGCCTTATTAAGGAAGGATAATTATTTTTTTATACTTTTGAAATTTGATTAAAAATATATGCAAATTTATTGATGGCCTCTTTTTTATAGAAAATTTAGTAACCTTATTAACAAATCTACTTATCAATAAATATATATATTCTCAAATTTAAGACAAGACAATTGAAAATAAAAGATCCTCCATTAAAAAAAATTAAAAACAAAAAAAAAAAACAAAGTCTTCTACCTGGTTGCCGTGTTACCAGAAATCTACGTGGCACTGATTGATTTGCCTAACTGACATGGCAGTCTACTTAAGGGGAAAGAATGAATAGGCATTGACCAACAACAGAGCGCGTGCCTCACACAGGCATACGTGGCGTTCTCTTAGTGGTATTATATGTGCATACGATTCGCAGATAATTTTTTTTCCTAATTAAGGGAATATCCAAAACGCACATTTTACCTCAATTTGCTACCATCCACCGCATCCAAAATTATACTGTATTTATATTATTTATAAAAATAAAGAAAAGAAAAAAATATTTTTGATTATTTATAAAAATCATGAATAAAAAGCTGATGTCAAAGTCAGTATAAATTTTTCCAAAAAATTAAATTAAAAGAGGATAATAACACTCTCCAAAATAAAAATAAAATAGTCAAATTTTATTACTCTCTCTCTAAGAAGTCTCCAACTTGCAAAAACACAACTAGAGAGAGAAAGACTAACAGAGAACTTGGTAAAGCTCTAACAAGTTCCCACCATTTGCGTTTACGAATCTCCATGGGTAATCTTCTCATTTCCTCCTCTGTCTTGTTTCTCTACGCTTTCAATCTTAATTCTTCGCTCAGCATACGTTATTTTAAGTATTGGTTATAGATCGAACAACTTTCTTCATGCGATGCCACGTCATACATCTTCTGTTTTACTGTTTTTGGTTCAAGCTACTCAATCTACCGGTTTCGTTTTAGATCTTTGCGTTTTGTACAAAATGCAGAAATTGGGAAACGTCGAAAATACGCCAACGACACCGTTTTTCTGATCGTTATATTTTCCTTTTCTGGTGTATTTGATTTACGATGATTTGCAAAAAAATTGTTTATATTCAAGTTGGATTTGATGAAAATTTTCACTAATTGCGAAGGTTGTTTATTTGTTTCGAAAGTGTTGCAAATGAAGAAATGAAACTGTTTTGCTAATTGTTAGGTTTTCATTTTGAATAATTTGTTTTTAATTAAGATTAGTGGTTTAGTTTATTTGTGGAAAATGTAGCAATTGATGAACTGACGCCGTTTGTAGTTGGTAGATTTTGCTGTTTGGTGTGTGTCCTTGATAATGATTTGGAATAACTTTTGTATGATTATGATGATTTGATGAAAGTGTTAAGTTTGAAGTAATAAGGAGTGTATTTTGTTTGCTATTTCAGGAAATTTTTGAGGATTTCTAAAATTTGCGCTTTGCAAAGCCGAGGATTGATTAGAAATTGAAGGGGTGATTGGCCCCAAAACGGCACAGCGAGTGAATTCATCGAACACAATGATGATGGATGATGATATGGAGAATGGCAGTTTGGGGCCATTCCAAGATCGGCTAAGGACGTTCCCTAACATGCGAAGTAAACCTTATGTTCCTTTGGTAAGAACCAGGTGTTACGTTTTTAATGTATTGATCAATTATTGGAATCTATATATATATATATATATATATTTGTCGAAAGTGTTTGTGCATAGTATAGATATAGGTGTTTTTATGGGATATATCAGCCCTTGAGAAGAACGAAAACAATATTCATAAAGCTGTATATGTTAGTATCACAGAATAAGATTCAAATTTTAACCGTAGTAGAATGTAGACTGTTTGTTATGGACATGTGCATCCCAATCAGTTACTTTTGAGTTTTCTAGCCTTTTTGATCTGATTCTTTACAGTTGCTTTGTCAACAGTATTTTAGTTTCTTTTCAAGAAAACGAATTATAAGATTTGAAGCTGAAGATTTAGTTTGATTAATTGCCTATCACCTGAGCTGAAGCTTGGTGCACTATATCAAGGAAAGATTTGTGTAAAATATGGACTACTGCTACAAAAGGTGTAGCATCTGCAATAATTGCACAAAAGTGTGACTATTATGAAAGATAAATTATGTATGAACTGCATTTCTCTAAGTATAATTCATCTGTGGATAAACTATAATATGTGTGGATTTTCTTAAATCCTTAAATCCTGTGGTGAGATCCAAGTAAGGATTTCATGTTTTTTTTCAAAAACAAAAAAGGGGTCCCAAGTAACTTTTACTTTGTTTTTGTGGTTGTGCAATACTTAATGTCAATGGAAACAGAAGGGTGTTCTTGCATAGTTATTGCTGGCTTCTTTTTGCTTATTGTTCTTTTCTTTTTCCACTTATGTGGTCAGTATCAAATTGTGCTTTTTTGCAGATTTTTCGAGTCCTTATGGGAATAAATGTCCGTGTTCNTATTATGAAAGATAAATTATGTATGAACTGCATTTCTCTAAGTATAATTCATCTGTGGATAAACTATAATATGTGTGGATTTTCTTAAATCCTTAAATCCTGTGGTGAGATCCAAGTAAGGATTTCATGTTTTTTTTCAAAAACAAAAAAGGGGTCCCAAGTAACTTTTACTTTGTTTTTGTGGTTGTGCAATACTTAATGTCAATGGAAACAGAAGGGTGTTCTTGCATAGTTATTGCTGGCTTCTTTTTGCTTATTGTTCTTTTCTTTTTCTCCTCATGTGGTCAGTATCAAATTGTGCTTTTTTGCAGATTTTTCGAGTCCTTATGGGAATAAATGTCCGTGTTCTTTTTGTACTCTTTCTATTGGGAATTGGGGTGATATTTTACATTGGAGCAAGTACTTCCCCGATTATTGTGTTTGTCTTCTCAGTTTGCATAATCACCTTTGTCTTTGCAATGTATCTTAGTAAGTGGGTGCTCGCAAAGGATGAGGGACCTCCTGAGATGGCTCAGGTACAACTTTTCTCTTTGTTTAGCCATTATGTATTTTGTGGATTTTTTTAATCTAACTTTTTCAATAAATGATTTTGGACAATGAAGAAGTAGTTTGTATGAGGGAAAAAAAAAAAGAAAAAAGAAAAAAAAAAATGATAATATATCTTTCTACATATTTCATGTTTGATATTTGATTGTAATTCATAATAAAATATAGACCTATCTAGTTTGTATATGCATGATGAGTGATCATTTTTTCGTGTATGACTTTTTTTCAAGTGCTAGTAGAGAGTTGCAAGCAAAGGTCACCCAAAAAAAAAATTAGTATCCGCCTTTATCCATATATATCTAAACTATAGCAGTCTAATGGAGAGCACATATTATCCCCTTCTTTGATTCCTTTCTACCTTTACAATTTCATTCATTGAAAAGAATCCCAACAAACAAAATTACAGAGATATATAATCTAGCGAAAATTCACTTTCAAGATAAAAGCATGTAAAAGTTAGGTTGTAGAGAAAATACTAATGAGCATGACTATAAAGGGACCTCTGTCTAGTTGCTTAAAGCATGTTAATGGTGTTTGAGGGTGGCTAGGTTTGACTGATATATCTATCTCTGCAACATGTTCCCTGAGTCATTTTTTGCATTTTAGTGGATCCCCTGGTTGAATTTAAAGCTGGAAAGAAGCTTCTGCCCTTATCTATCTTTTGTGTCCATACAAACACCGGAATGCTGATAGTTATCAGGGTGCTTGATGTTGTTAGATTTTCTGGGGTACTTTTGGTTTCAAATTCTTGTTTTTCTTGTTGCTATGATCTTGCTAACAGCTGATAATTTCACAAGTTAATCGAAATTTATAATTAGGATATGATTGTCTATGGATTAGAGGTAGATATTTTGGTGGATCAGAGAATAAGATATTAGGATTGATAATATGTACACCTCTTTAGGATTGAGAATAACATGCTGATGCAAATTTTATAGAAATTAGCAAGCAGCTCCCTGCTATTAATTGCCATTAGTGGTGAGTTAATTTATGAATGATGTTGAGTGATTTAAAGAAATTTTTTCCTTAGAAAAAAAATTAGTTCTTTTTTTGGATAGTTATGCCCCTTGTCTTTTTTGATCAATAGAATAAGAAATTTCCTTCTTCCTTTCAACATTTTATAAGGCTTGTGGAATACAACCTGTGAAGCATTTTATTAAACAAGTGGAATGTCCTAGTTGAAATTTTCTTTGCGCTTGAACATATACTAATATATTTAGATTTAGAGTTGAACGTGCTGCAAAATTTTTTAGCAAAATGAATTTATGGAAAAAGGGAATTAGATGTTGTATTATTTAGTATAATTCACTTGATATCCTTTTTTTTTTTTTTTTCCAAATAGTATTTTGAAAATAAAAATGGTGGACATACATTTAGTAGAGTTTTTGAAAATATCAAAAATATGTTTTCAATGCACAGTTATTAGAATACATCATTAATACTCCTAGCAATTTTTGAAAAGCAAGTTACTTACAAAAAACTTCATTAAAAAATGATACGAGTTAAAAGTGCTCTCTAGTTTTGAGAAATGAACCCCAAAATTAGTGAAAGTAACTTAAAAGTTATTTTTTATTTCCTTAATAAAAGTTAGGAAACAATTTATGCATTTTCTCAAATGTTCTTTGAAACTGGTTACTGGTTACCAATTAAGTTCTTTTTCCATTTTCTAAATGCTGAGAACAGGAAATTACTCTCTGAAAATAGAAACAAGTGCAGCCAAAATAAGTCTTACCTGTTTTATGCTCTTCAGTTTGACTTCTCTGCCATAATGTTGTTTGTTCCATCATAATTTTTAGAGTTTTACTTTCAAAAGCATTAGTTTTTAATAAGTGAATAAAGCTAGGTATTTTTGTTTATAATCATATTTTGAAACTCATTTGATTCTTCTTATCCTAAACTTATTATATTACTTTCTAGATATCAGATGCTATACGAGATGGTGCTGAAGGTTTCTTCAGGACCCAGTATGGGACTATCTCTAAAATGGCATGTTTGCTGGCTCTGGTGATCTTTAGCATTTATTTGTTTCGCCGTACAACCCCTCAACAAGAATCTTCTGGCATTGGGAGGTGAGACATTCTCAACATTGGTTCTGAATATATATGTATATCTGTATTGCCATTTTACTGAAAGAAACATTGTTCTTGGTCTACTTGCTGATGCAGGGCAACATCTGCATATATTACTGTTGCTGCATTCCTTTTGGGGGCATTATGTTCAGGTGTTGCAGGGTATGTTGGGATGTGGGTGTCAGTTCGTGCAAACGTTCGCGTTTCCAGTGCTGCAAGACGGTCTGCAAGAGAGGCATTGCAGGTTGTTTCTGTTATAGAATGTTGTCTCCAAACGGTTTTAGATTGATATCTTAACCTGCAAATGGTATGTACAGGTTGCAGTTCGTGCTGGTGGTTTCTCTGCCATTGTGGTTGTTGGTATGGCTGTAATTGGTATAGCCATTCTTTATTCCACATTTTATGTTTGGTTGGGAGTGGATTCGCCAGGTTCAATGAAGGTTACCGATTGTAGGTTTCAACTTTCCTTTTTATGCGAGACCCAAATAATTGAGTTTGTTACTTAATTGTCTGCATATTATTATATGCCTCAGACTGTAAACTTTATTGCTATGTTTTATCTTCAAGGCAACAGTATTGAAGACTTTACCACATCACTTATTTTGCTTTATAATGCTATAAATGATGATTTAGGCCGCTTCTGAATTTTAAGGTTTTATGTATATGATTGTAATTTATTTTTATTTCATTATTGTTGCTCATTGGCTTTTAGGTTGTTAGATATAGACTTGTAGTTATGTCAGTCAGTGACTATTTGCGTTCAGTTGGGTGATTGCTTGTTGATTGGTTATCATTGGCAGTCACCAGAAATGGGACTTTTGAGTTAGTTGGAAATTCTTTCGATTTCTCTTGGGTGAGATGATTCAAATTGATTTGGGTAGCCTTTTTTCTTTATTTATTTTTTTTTTCTTGGTGGAGTTGTTCTCTAGTGTAACTAAGTTGTAGATCCTGTTATTCACTGGACTTTACTTGGATTTTATCTGAACACCTCCAAGAAGAGATGTAAGCCTAAGCCTTGGCGCACAAATTGATCATCTTACCGTGTCTAGAAGCAAATTTGTTTGAGTTAATAGACTAGTTAACTTGTTTTGTTGATGCAAAGCTGGTGGGAAAATGGTGGGCAGTTGTTGATTTACTGTGCAAAATCATAATTTACATTGGTCTGTTTAGCTTGACTTGAGGGTTGAGAGGTAGGCAGCATACAGATTCTGAGTAGTGCCATAATTATGAAAAGTTTACCAAGTGCCTTTGATTGCAGCTGAAAAAGAAGTTTGAATTGAGAGCTATGTACTATGAACATAATTCTTTCATTGTTGGAGTATAGCTGTCATAGTATTGTGGGATCCCTTCTGCCCTAAGCGTTCTCACTAGACCGAAGCATAAGTCATTCTGCTTATGCATCCTTAGATGGGATTTGTGATGATTGAGGCAAAAAGCATAGTGTCTGGCAATTTGGTTATGAACTGCAATATTTACCTTGGAGTCATACCTGATCCTGGAGAAGCTTTAAATAGGGTGGGGGGAGGTTGAGGAAACCTCATGTCTTTTACAGTGTCATGATGTCATGCTGTAGGAATTATTTTTTGTTCTTCTTTGCTGATGCACCATTTGTATATGGATGTAAATATGATAACATGGTATATGTTGACTTGGCACGGTTTTTCATTGTATCTGCAGGGTTGTGGTTTACATTGCTCTGCATCTTCTTACTTTAGACAATTTATTTAAAAAGTTACAACTGTGCTTTTGCTTGAATAGTTTGTAGTGTAGATGATAAATGGCCATCTTCAGTCTCAATGCTGAGGTGTGATCTGTTGTTTGTAACTGTGCATGCACAAATACCATCTTCTCTCTTTCGTTTGTTTGACTGCACGTCTTTTTCATTCTGATGCATCATTGTTATTGTGTTTGTAGAGTTGTGAATTACGAATTTTGAAATTATGATTATTTAGTTGATTTGTTTCTTGTTCTTTTCCAGTGCCTCTTCTTCTTGTGGGATATGGTTTTGGAGCATCATTTGTTGCTCTCTTTGCTCAATTGGGTGGTGGAATATTCACTAAAGCAGCTGATGTTGGGGCAGACCTTGTTGGAAAAGTGGAGCAGGGAATACCAGAAGATGATCCTCGAAATCCTGCCGTCATTGCGGATTTGGTATATTTCTTGTCATCTTTGTTGACATTAGTATTTAATCTATTTGTTTAGCTTTCAATTTTTTTTTTCTTTTTTGTGTATTGTCCATATTAATATTCTGAGGATAGATCTCATGTAAATGAGCTGGAAAGTACAAGTTAATAAATAGTATGAATGAAATTAGGAGTAGAGAATTGGTTTATCGTGCATCATGCTCAGACTCTTTAAGGAAAGAACTGACTGATCATTTTTAGATTATATTGCAAATTATGATACTGCATAATACCCAAAGAAATATTAAACTGGCCATGGCGTGTGCATTTACTATAAATGCCAGTTATGATTAGTTTATTGAATTTTTGTTCCATTAGGCATGTTTCATATGAGGTCCAGAGTTGCAGCTTTCTGTTAAGATTTTTTTTCTTGTCAAAATAACATGTCTTTCTCTGAAGTTTTAGGTGAACACAAGATTCAGCAGTTCAGAGGCATACTGACTTGTGGTTTTGCAACCTTGTTTGAAAGTTGTCATATCTTTGCTACTCAATGGGCGTACTTGGTTCTTACTTCACTTACAGTATAAGAGGATTTCATTTATTATCCATGGTCTGCTATAAATAAAAAATTTCATACTTCTGCCTTTCTAAGATGGCTTGAGTAGTTTGACTAGCTTTATGCTAAACTTGGAACCATTACTAAAAGATTTACCTATAAGGCTACATAAGAAGCTGAGCAGCACAAACTTTTTCCAGGAATTGCCTTATTTCCTTTTCAATGCGGCTATTAGATTGTGTCTGCCTATGTGTAGCCTTCTACGTTTTTATTGATTATTGCAATATAGAGAAGCTACCGAAGAAATATTTTGATATGCAAAAAACGTATTTGTATTCTCCATTTTGCTGAAATTGACAATTTGGTTTGATATTGTTGCACTGTAGGTTGGAGACAATGTGGGTGATTGTGCTGCGAGAGGTGCTGATCTTTTTGAAAGCATTGCAGCTGAAATCATCAGTGCTATGATACTTGGGGGAACAATGGCTCAACGTTGTAAAATTGAAGGTAAATGAAGTTCCCTTACTATTAGAATGTGGCTGTTCTGTAGGGTTATTGTTATTGTTAAAACATGCATATAAGCACACTCATACATCCTATCTGTTACATGATGTACTTGTCTTCTTATAATGGTGCTATGTTCAAGAATAGACAGTATGATATCCTTCATGTGTTGTGGATGTGTTTTAATACTTCTAATTTTGAATCTTTTGGCAGCAGCAACTTTTAGATCAGCATGTAACTAAATTAGGAGTATTTACCTGCAATTGTGTCTTTATTGTTGTAGGATATATCTGGCAAACTGAATCACTGCATGATATGATCCTTTGATCTATCTATTAACTTAATTATTGGTACTTTTCAAACAGGTCAATGTCTTCATTAGCTGACTTACCCTGTGATTCATTGTTCATGCAGATCCATCTGGCTTCATCTTGTTTCCTCTTGTTGTTCATTCATTTGATCTGGTTGTCTCATCTGTTGGAATACTTTCAATCAGGAGTACACGCGACTCTAGTGTGAAGGTACCTATTGAGGATCCAATGGCAATTCTTCAGAAAGGATACTCTGTTACAATAGTACTTGCTGTTCTGACATTTGGTGCGGTAATATATCTTCCACCACCGGAGTACTTTCATTTTTTCTTTTACTGTTCTCTGCTGGAATGTTATTGATAACATCTTCCCTGATAACATAATGGCTTTTGCCATCAGATTTAGATTTGACCAAGTTTGAAAGCCACTATTCTCTGTCATTTATTTAATTTCTTACACTGATTTTTTGCTGTTGGTTGTCGGGTTACTTTGCAGTCTACTCGTTGGTTACTTTATACAGAACAAGCACCTTCTGCATGGTTGAACTTTGCCTTATGTGGGCTGGTTGGTATCATCACGGCATATGTTTTTGTCTGGATCACCAAGTATTACACTGATTACAAGTACGAGCCTGTACGCACATTAGCTCTTGCTAGCTCCACAGGTCATGGGACTAACATAATAGCAGGAGTCAGTTTGGGCCTGGAATCAACAGCACTTCCCGTTCTTGTGATTAGTATGTCGATTGTGTCAGCTTATTGGTTGGGCCAAACCTCGGGACTGGTGGATGAAACTGGCAATCCAACTGGTGGACTGTTTGGCACAGCTGTAGCGACAATGGGAATGCTCAGCACTGCTGCCTATGTTCTGACTATGGATATGTTCGGTCCAATAGCTGATAATGCTGGTGGTATTGTAGAGATGAGTCAGCAGGTAACTCTTGAACTAAGTCTTTCAGTTGTGTTTTTTTTTTTTTTTTTTTTTTATTCCCTCATCCTTGGTGAATCAATAAATTAAATAAACATGCCTTGAGCAGCCAGAAAGTGTTCGGGAGATTACTGATGTTCTTGATGCGGTAGGCAATACTACAAAAGCTACAACTAAAGGATTTGCCATCGGATCTGCAGCACTTGCATCTTTTCTTTTATTTAGTGCCGCTTCTGAATTTTAAGGTTTTATGTATATGATTGTAATTTATTTTTATTTCGTTATTGTTGCTCATTGGCTTTTAGGTTGTTAGATATAGACTTGTAGTTATGTCAGTCAGTGACTATTTGCGTTCAGTTGGGTGATTGCTTGTTGATTGGTTATCATTGGCAGTCACCAGAAATGGGACTTTTGAGTTAGTTGGAAATTCTTTCGATTTCTCTTGGGTGAGATGATTCAAATTGATTTGGGTAGCCTTTTTTCTTTATTTATTTTTTTTTTCTTGGTGGAGTTGTTCTCTAGTGTAACCAAGTTGTAGATCCTGTTATTCACTGGACTTTACTTGGATTTTATCTGAACACCTCCAAGAAGAGATGCAAGCCTAAGCGTTGGCACACAAATTGATCCTCTTACCGTGTCTAGAAGCAAATTTGTTTGAGTTAATAGACTATTTAACTTGTTTTGTTGATGCAAAGCTGGTGGGAAAATGGTGGGGCAGTTGTTGATTTACTGTGCAAAATCATAATTTACATTGGTCTGTTTAGCTTGACTTGAGGGTTGAGAGGTAGGCAGCATACATATTCTGAGTAGTGCCATAATTATGAAAAGTTTACCAAGTGCCTTTGATTGCAGCTGAAAAAGAAGTTTGAATTGAGAGCTATGTACTATGAACATAATTCTTTCATTGTTGGAGTATAGCTGTCATAGTATTGTGGGATCCCTTCTGCCCTAAGCGTTCTCACTAGACCGAAGCATAAGTCATTCTGCTTATGCATCCTTAGATGGGATTTGTGATGATTGAGGCAAAAAGCATAGTGTCTGGCAATTTGGTTATGAACTGCAATATTTACCTTGGAGTCATACCTGATCCTGGAGAAGCTTTAAATAGGGTGGGGGGAGGTTGAGGAAACCTCATGTCTTTTACAGTGTCATGATGTCATGCTGTAGGAATTATTTTTTGTTCTTCTTTGCTGATGCACCATTTGTATATGGATGTAAATATGATAACATGGTATATGTTGACTTGGCACGGTTTTTCATTGTATCTGCAGGGTTGTGGTTTACATTGCTCTGCATCTTCTTACTTTAGACAATTTATTTAAAAAGTTACAACTGTGCTTTTGCTTGAATAGTTTGTAGTGTAGATGATAAATGGCCATCTTCAGTCTCAATGCTGAGGTGTGATCTGTTGTTTGTAACTGTGCATGCACAAATACCATCTTCTCTCTTTCGTTTGTTTGACTGCACGTCTTTTTCATTCTGATGCATCATTGTTATTGTGTTTGTAGAGTTGTGAATTACGAATTTTGAAATTATGATTATTTAGTTGATTTGTTTCTTGTTCTTTTCCAGTGCCTCTTCTTCTTGTGGGATATGGTTTTGGAGCATCATTTGTCGCTCTCTTTGCTCAATTGGGTGGTGGAATATTCACTAAAGCAGCTGATGTTGGGGCAGACCTTGTTGGAAAAGTGGAGCAGGGAATACCAGAAGACGATCCTCGAAATCCTGCCGTCATTGCGGATTTGGTATATTTCTTGTCATCTTTGTTGACATTAGTATTTAATCTATTTGTTTAGCATTCAATTTTTTTTTTCTTTTTTGTGTATTGTCCATATTAATATTCTGAGGTTAGATCTCATGTAAATGAGCTAGAAAGTACAAGTTAATAAATAGTATGAATGAAATTAGGAGTAGAGATTTGGTTTATCATGCATCATGCTCAGACTCTTTAAGGAAAGAACTGACTGATCATTTTTAGATTATATTGCAAATTATGATACTGCATAATACCCAAAGAAATATTAAACTGGCCATGGCGTGTGCATTTACTATAAATGCCAGTTATGATTAGTTTATTGAATTTTTGTTCATGTTTTATATGAGGTCCAGAGTTGCAGCTTTCTGTTAAGATTTTTTTTCTTGTCAAAATAACATGTCTTTCTCTGAAGTTTTAGGTGAACACAAGATTCAGCAGTTCAGAGGCATACTGACTTGTGGTTTTGCAACCTTGTTTGAAAGTTGTCATATCTTTGCTACTCAATGGGCGTACTTGGTTCTTACTTCACTTACAGTATAAGAGGATTTCATTTATTATCCATGGTCTGCTATAAATAAAAAATTTCATACTTCTGCCTTTCTAAGATGGCTTGAGTAGTTTGACTAGCTTTATGCTAAACTTGGAACCATTACTAAAAGATTTACCTATAAGGCTACATAAGAAGCTGAGCAGCACAAACTTTTTCCAGGAATTGCCTTATTTCCTCTTCAATGCGGCTATTAGAGTGTGTCTGCCTATGTGTAGCCTTCTACGTTTTTATTGATTATTGCAATATAGAGAAGCTACCGAAGAAATATTTTGATATGCAAAAAATGTATTTGTATTCTCCATTTTGCTGAAATTGACAATTTGGTTTGATATTGTTGCACTGTAGGTTGGAGACAATGTGGGTGATTGTGCTGCGAGAGGTGCTGATCTTTTTGAAAGCATTGCAGCTGAAATCATCAGTGCTATGATACTTGGGGGAACAATGGCTCAACGTTGTAAAATTGAAGGTAAATGAAGTTCCCTTACTATTAGAATGTGGCTGTTCTGTAGGGTTATTGTTATTGTTAAAACATGCATACAAGCACACTCATACATCCTATCTGTTACATGATGTACTTGTCTTCTTATAATGGTGCTATGTTCAAGAATAGACAGTATGATATCCTTCATGTGTTGTGGATGTGTTTTAATACTTCTAATTTTGAATCTTTTGGCAGCAGCAACGTTTAGATCAGCATGTAACTAAATTAGGAGTATTTACCTGCAATTGTGTCTTCATTGTTGTAGGATATATCTGGCAAACTGAATCACTGCATGATATGATCCTTTGATCTATCTATTAACTTAATTATTGGTACTTTTCAAACAGGTCAATGTCTTCATTAGCTGACTTACCCTGTGATTCATTGTTCATGCAGATCCATCTGGCTTCATCTTGTTTCCTCTTGTTGTTCATTCATTTGATCTGGTTGTCTCATCTGTTGGAATACTTTCAATCAGGAGTACACGCGACTCTAGTGTGAAGGTACCTATTGAGGATCCAATGGCAATTCTTCAGAAAGGATACTCTGTTACAATAGTACTTGCTGTTCTGACATTTGGTGCGGTAATATATCTTCCACCACCGGAGTACTTTCATTTTTTCTTTTACTGTTCTCTGCTGGAATGTTATTGATAACATCTTCCCTGATAACATAATGGCTTTTGCCATCAGATTTAGATTTGACCAAGTTTGAAAGCCACTATTCTCTGTCATTTATTTAATTTCTTACACTGATTTTTTGCTGTTGGTTGTCGGGTTACTTTGCAGTCTACTCGTTGGTTACTTTATACAGAACAAGCACCTTCTGCATGGTTGAACTTTGCCTTATGTGGGCTGGTTGGTATCATCACGGCATATGTTTTTGTCTGGATCACCAAGTATTACACTGATTACAAGTACGAGCCTGTACGCACATTAGCTCTTGCTAGCTCCACAGGTCATGGGACTAACATAATAGCAGGAGTCAGTTTGGGCCTGGAATCAACAGCACTTCCCGTTCTTGTGATTAGTATGTCGATTGTGTCAGCTTATTGGTTGGGCCAAACCTCGGGACTGGTGGATGAAACTGGCAATCCAACTGGTGGACTGTTTGGCACAGCTGTAGCGACAATGGGAATGCTCAGCACTGCTGCCTATGTTCTGACTATGGATATGTTCGGTCCAATAGCTGATAATGCTGGTGGTATTGTAGAGATGAGTCAGCAGGTAACTCTTGAACTAAGTCTTTCAGTTGTGTTTTTTTTTTTTTTTTATTCCCTCATCCTTGGTGAATCAATAAATTAAATAAACATGCCTTGAGCAGCCAGAAAGTGTTCGGGAGATTACTGATGTTCTTGATGCGGTAGGCAATACTACAAAAGCTACAACTAAAGGATTTGCCATCGGATCTGCAGCACTTGCATCTTTTCTTTTATTTAGTGCTTATATGGATGAAGTAGCTGCATTTGCTAATGAACCTTTCAAACAGGTAGGTGCGACTGTACTTACCCTTTAATCAATTGCCTCCTTCATTGCTTTATCCTTGTCTTATTCTTCACTTTAATTGACCTTCAGGTTGATATTGCCATTCCGGAAGTTTTCATTGGTGGACTGTTGGGGTCAATGCTTATTTTCTTATTTAGTGCGTGGGCTTGTTCTGCAGTAGGCCGAACTGCTCAGGAGGTTGTTAATGAAGTAAGAAGACAATTTATTGAGAGGCCCGGTATCATGGTGAGTAGAAATTTCTCACTTGTTTTCTTTATTATAGTTACTCGACAGCTTACTGATTGTTTTGTATGCTTACTGCAGGAGTACAAGGAAAAACCAGACTATGGTCGCTGTGTTGCCATTGTAGCATCTGCTTCTCTACGGGAGATGATAAAACCTGGTGCTCTGGCTATTATATCACCATTAGTGCTGGGTAAGTTATTCATTCTATTGTTCCAATTTGTTGTTTCGTCCTTATCCAACTATATTATTAGTGATGGCATTATTGGACCTAATAATGGATTGTTGTTACTGTTATTGTTTCATGAATTATTACGACTATCAGAGGTTTTGAATTACCATATCAAGATGTTTCCCTTATTCAACTTCAATATTATATAATTTTCAGAAGTGTTGTGTATGATCTTGGCCGTTTTTCTTGTGTCTTTGCCGGTTGTGGAGTATTGTCACTTTCTCCATTGGGTTCTTATGTTTATGTTCAATCGTCCCCGTTTCACTTTGTATGGTGGGTGATGAAGCATTTATAGAAGTTTGTTGATACTGCTTGCAGGTTTTCTGTTCCGTATTTTGGGATACTACACTGGACATCCTCTACTTGGGGCTAAAGTTGTGGCTTCTATGCTGATGTTTGCAACAGTCTCTGGTATTCTTATGGCTCTTTTCCTGAACACAGCAGGAGGTGCATGGGATAATGCAAAGAAGTTCATAGAGACTGGGGCCCTTGGAGGCAAAGGAAGTGATACCCATAAAGCAGCAGTGACTGGAGATACGTAAGTCTTCTCGGCCATTCCTTTTATTTTAACTAAATCTAATTGCCTCTCTTAAAGAAAACGAAAATTGGACATATCCGCTGTCTTGAGTAACAAGTTCTTCAGCGCTTCTGCGAGCCATTCTAGTAGAGAGATTTGCTGCTTTCTTTTTACTTTAAACGATAAAAGGATTTAATTTGTAGTTACTTTCTCTGCTGATAGCTCGTAGTAATTGTGATATTTTCCAATTGTGCAGTGTGGGAGATCCATTTAAAGACACAGCTGGACCTTCGATTCATGTCCTCATAAAAATGCTGGCTACCATAACGCTTGTGATGGCGCCAATATTCCTGTGAGTGTTGTTAATATGTATTGCAGTTTTCACCTGAAAACTACAGCAGAGATATTTAGCAAATATAGAGATAGGTATTTTTGATATATATCAAGGGGTGCTTGATTACTGATCATACACAAATTTTCCTTGCTGTGATTGAATAATAAGAGATGTTTGATAGGCTGCGTATTTTTTTTTTTTTTAAATTGAGTAGTGTTTCTTTCACAGTACTCAAATGGATTGCCATGGCTTGTCCACAATTGCATATTTTCTGGATCAGCCGGTTCTATTGGCTGATAATGAAATTAGCGATTTACAGTATGAAATTTCTGAAACGTTAGGATGGTAATAACGTATGTAACTTTAAAAACAACTCAATAAAAATTAGATGTAAAATAAAACTTCATATGGTATCTTTCATTCTGATCTTATTGTAAATAAATCCTTTCACCTACAGAACATATAAGGGGACAAGGAGTGAATTGTTACCTTTAAATTTAAAATCTAAAACCTGGAAACAGTGCATGAATATTCATAACCAAATATTTCTTATGCCTGATTAAATTTAAATCACAGTTTGAGCTAGCATTTTAATTTTCGGATGGAATTAGCGAGTTTGACTTTGGTTTATAATCGAGGATGTGAACATAAAAAATAAATAAAAGAGTGATGTTATTTATTAAATTTCACTGAAATTCTTTATAAATCCCATTTTTAAAATAAAATTCTAAAATAAATCCAATTTCGAAATAAATATTGATATATTCCAAAAAAAAAAAAAATAATAATAATTAAAAAAAAGCGGTATAGACCAGACCAGACCAGGCCTTGTTCCTGCTCTTTTAACTTCGGGCTCTCGCCATACCCAAACAAACGAAACATTTTGGTTTCATTTGTTGTTCTCTTGTTTTCATTTTTTTTCACCTTTCTTCTTCCGCTCTCTCTTACCTCACCTTATCTCCAAAACGGCAAAACCCCAATTCCCTCTAGGGTTTTATCCTCAAACCCTAAAACCCCATTTCAAAGTTTCCCAATTCCACCCCAAAATGCAACAACCGCCACCCCCAAACCCACAACCCAAATCTACCACCACAAACCCCCAAAAGAAAAAAGCACCATCTCCCCAAGAACTCATCACCCACTACACCACTCAAGGTTTAGACCAAGAACAGGCCTCGCTCAAGGTCATTGAAGATCTCCAAAATGTTCTTTTCAGAGTCATTGCATCCACCAACAAGAACAGAAAGGACAAGGTGATGACTGAAACTTCGAAAAAGATTGATGTTATTAACAACAGACTTGCCATTCTCGATATGAAGGTCGATTCAAAGCCCGGGTTTGCACAAACTTTTGGTCTTGGGATTGTCTCTGGGGCGGCTTTGAATGGAATTGGGAGCGCATTCCCTCATGTTGTGAAGGGTTTTGGGCAAATTTGGACTGCGGTTAGAACTGTAACTGACCCTTCTTCCTCTTCTAATGGTCCTTCTTGAATCTTGAAATGTGTTTGTTTATGCAAATTTTAGTTCAATCATGTTAGATTTTGTTAATTATTTTGCCAAGAGATTTACAATTTATGAGTAAAGTTTTGATTTTATCTGGGTTGTTTTAATTTTTTAATTTGTTGTGTTTTTGATATGAAACAAGAAATTAAGAAACATCACAATTGAGGATATGTGAATGGTAAGGATTCTTATTTAGGGTGGGGTGGGACTTTTTTAAATCCAAATTTATATTGTTTAATTTATACATTTATATTGAAATTTTGTCATCCAAATGGCTATAAATTAATTTATCATTTATAGAAAAGAATTAAAGATGTAAACACGAATAATGATTAAATAATCTATCTCCGTTAGATCTCTTATCAAGACCAACATTTTCAACTTTCTCAAGGGATTAACTGAACACCTCCCAAACATAAAAAAAAAAAAAAAGTACAAAATGAATTCTGTCGGGAGCAAGCAGTTGGAACTTACATTATTAGGAAGTTTGTTATTTTATCATACTTTAGAAGGAATAATACCATTAACTCAAAAAACATATTTACATAAAATATTTTAATTTTATATACGTCTCTATGACTCTATCTCTATTACCTATTAATCACATCACTCTTTCGTTGTGTCAGTTAAAAAAATTAACAAAATAGATTAAAAAATGCAAAACCGACTCAAAATAAATTTATTTCCTAAGGCTGAGATTCTAAAATAAAATATTTTATATTAAACTCTAAATAATTCCTTCTCCATATAAAACACAAACTAAGAACAAAGAAAATTCTCTAGAGTCATCCTCAAGCATTGAAATATTTCATATTAATTTACCTAATGCAACATTCTTAATGCTATTTGTTTAAATAAGAGTTGAAAATAGAAATAGAAAAAATAATATAAAAAAAAAAAAAACATAACATTAATCAAATTGTATTTTGACCGATTTTGATAAAATAAGTATGTTCCTCTGAGTTTTATATATCATATTCCATGGTTAATATTTTAGTTTTATTTCGCCATATTGAGATAAGCCAATTAAAGGATTCTTTGAAAAGTAATATATCAATCTTTAAAAAGTTATAATTTAATTAATTTATTCGTTCAGATTTACTATTCCCATAAGACAACGCAAAACCTTTTTTATTTTTTTTATGTATATTTGTCGCTAGCATCAGTTGCTAACAGTCGCTGCCCCCACAGTGCAACACGTGTCCAAACATTTTCTAAAATAATTTTTGTTCAGTTGAATTGATAAAATAAATCTTTCTTTTAACTGAAATTATAGGAGCTGACATTTTACTCATACTTCAACACTAGGGTTGGTGTCACGGGCCTAAATTCCCATCTAGGCACTTTGCCGCACAAGCACGTTTATTGCTTGTAAGCCTTCCCAAATGAGTATATCCTATTACAATTTACTTCAACAATAATGAAGAGAGGCTACTAAAGTATAAAGGTAACAATCTACGAGAAAAAATTCATAACCTTATATTAATTATACAAAAATACAAGGATTACATGAATGTCCACACAGTGTTTCTCTATTGTTATAATCTGATTCTCAAACTCACAGATTACAACACTCAAGTTTACAACAATTGCACACACACACACGCGCGCGTGCGCATAACATCCCTCTCTCCTTGAATAAATAGAATGCTTACATTTGATTAATATTGGCAAGACAGTTACATAAACAATTACAAGAAGCTGTTACCAAGCACTTGGATAACTGTATATGTTTCATCTAAACATATATATCTGTCCCTCAGTCTTGTCTAAACAACTATCTAGCTTTGCTTTAGCATTCCCATTAGCTTGTCACATTTCCTCATGCACACCCACGTACTATGTTGCCTGTCTGGTCCATGTATTCAGCTGCTTGCTTCGCACATTACCCGCTTGTGTACGTCCCAGCTCATGCATTGCCTGATCTGCTTATGGATGCCCCAATGCCCATGCCGACACATGCTCTGCCTGTACATGTATATGCTTGCAAGTACTCCCACCCACAAGTCTATTTGTCTGTGTGCTCGCTAATGCCGAAACAACCAAGAGATGATTGAATGTAAGAAAACAAAGATACAAAAAACCACCGCCTAACTATATCAAGATTCGGATACTGGATAAATTGAAAAAAAAAAAAAAAAAAACTACAAAAGGTTTCTCAATATTTCATTAAAATTAATAATTCATCAAAAACTATTACCTTAAAGGCTACAAATACCTTTATTTATACTAGAATTAACCTTAACTAGTTAAAAAAGCAATAGACCTAATAATTAAAATAAATCTTATTCCAATATGGAAAACTTCTAAAACAGGAAATCTAAATTAATTAGAACTACTAAAATAAGAAATTAGGAATAAGAAGGCCTAAATATAAAGAAATAATATAATCTTTTTCTATAGAATTTAAATAATATATTTTCTACATCATTCTCCCCTACTAGTTGGAAATTTGCCATAGAATTTTTGGCATGAATATCTTCATCTTCAACTTGCATTAATCATAACTTCTTTGCGTTCATCTCTAGTTAATATGCACAAAGAATTTTAAATTTTCCTACCTTTGTAACAATATCCATCAAATCAGCCCAACAATGGAAAACAAAATCATAACACAAAGTCTATTGTAGCCTTATCTTGTGATGATGATCATGCATGTCAGCAACACAATTAATGATAAAGGAACTTGTTTCGTAAGCAGCCTATCCAAATCTTGAAACATTGATTCTTCAATAATTTCTTCATCAAATTTCGGCAGCTCACCATGATCATCAAATAATTAAAGTGGTCGTGATTGTTAACCTCAACATCATCACCAAAAATATCTTCAAACTCTTCTACCTTGTCTTCTTCCACCGGGGCCTTGATTTGCTCAAATCGTTGTTGGAGATCTTGAACTTGCCTCCTTAGATTTTCGATCTCTAAATCTCGTTGGTCATGTTGGCGATCATCAAGTCTTCCCCAAGAGCCATGCACGACCCCTATTGCAACCTCACTGACCTCTACCCATTGTTTAAAAATCGGACTGGCAGACAACCGCTCTGTTGACCGGGTCATGGTTCACGATCCAACGGTTAGACCGTCGGTTGGACGGTGATGTCACACATCATGATGACATCAGCACATTTTTAAAATTTTTTATTTTTTTTAAGATTTCTATTTTTTAATAAGACAATAACAACTTAATTACTGTCCAATAATATAATTCAAAGTTCAAATTCAACAACATCTTAGCATATTTAAGTATTTAACAACAATTCAAAGTCTAAATCCAAACATGATGTTGTATTTACATATTAAATGTCAAAATATAACTAATTAATAACAAAACATTTGATGCAAGTGTTTTTTTCTTTGATCCGTCTCCATGTTGATTGAGCTTCACACACTAGCATCAAAATTCATCACCATCATCATCAAACCATCACCACCATCTACGCAAATTTAAAAAAATAGAAATCATAAGTTAAAAATTGTATTTAATTTATAGATACTAAGTTGCTTAAATAATTGAAACCAACCTTCTGAACCATATGTTGAATCATAAAAAGAAGGGTGTCAGAACTCCAGTAGGAATAGATCTTTTCCCATATAACATTTGTTCCAACTCTTCATAATTAAGTTCACTGACCTCCTCCTCTTCATCGTCAACTATCCAACCTTCAGTTTTGTCGATACTATAATCAATAGGATCCAAACTTATTCTCTTGTAACACTTCCTAAATACCATAAAGAAATATTAAAAGCATGACAACTAAATATCAAGGAAAAAATGATAATAACAATAAGAGTGATGCATAATTGAGTAATTGACAATGTTTTATACTGTTTTGCAAACGCAAGTTATAGTGAACGAAAACAAAATCATTCAACTTTGATGCTCCAATCTATTCCTCTTTTAGTATGTATGCGCTCAAAAACACTCCCATTTCGGTCACATCCAGAAGAGCTTGAAGTTTGACTAGAATTTTTATTGCAAACTTTTGCAAATTTGGAGTACTATACCTAAATGATCTCCACCATTCATTAATTGAAAATTAAACTAATAAATAAATTAGACTCTAAAAAACAAGAACTTATAAATTTTATAACTATTACGTACTAGGACGTGTGGTTTTGGTGGTTTCAAGGGCAAGCCCGTGAGAAAAAGCTTTCCTCCCGATTTGAATATAATCTCTCTCTTCCATTAACCTTGTCTTGCTCAAATTGAAAGCACTTGCTTTATGTCAATAGTATCAAGGAAACCACTCATGAACTGGCTGAGGCAAAAAGTCTTCATCAATTTAAAGGTAGGATTCAAATAATAAGCCGCAGCATGGATATCACGACGCAATGTCCTATCCCAACGTAGCTTAATGATTCGTGTATAAGGCTTGTAGAATTTCTTTTATTCTTAAACAACTTCTTAATTGCATTTTTCTCTCTGTACAGCCATCATACACATATCCTATTGCTGGCTTCATCTGAGGAGCATCCCAACAAGCGCATCAATGGACTCACAACTTTGGATATCTTACCCATATCATCCCAAAAATCGTTATCCAAAATTATGTCAATAACATGTTTGCCTTTATTACTTTTTGCATATCAAGAATTGACAAATGACCTATCTGTCACCAGGCTTGCAGTCATGTTTGTGCTCATGAAGCTTCTCATTGCAATGAAAGTTGTAGCAAAACGGGTTGCACCTGGACGAACAATTTCTTTCCAAACTGTTCAATTGATAAATATAAGATGTTAGTCAATAATATAAAAATGCATATTATTGTTGACTTGACAAGAACATGAGCTAAAAGTATATTACCTGTCTTTTCCAACCAAGCTATCAAAAATGTATGATATTATAAACTTCGTCACCTCAAAAGCACAACTGCAAAGATAAACTATGTGATCCATCTCAGCTATGTCTTTTAACACCAAAGTTATGCTATGTGCTGCACAGGGTGACCAAGTAATACTCGGATATTTCTCAGACAATATTCTTCCAGCAGCTTATAATTGGATCCATTGTCTGAGACAAAATGGACAACTACTATTGGTCCAATCCATAAAACTACCTCCTCAAACATCTTCAACAATGTCCAGCATCCTT